AAGAAAACGTTTTACCTTTTATTATTATTTTCCCTTGCTGTATTACCAACATCAAGAATCTAGAAACTAGTGATTTTTCAAAGCCAAAAGAATTTGNTTTTGATAAAAGTTTGTTTCAAAATTCTTTATTATTTGCCAACAATACATCCCGAACAGTTTCTGAAGATAAACATGATGATGATAGTAAAGAGACTAAGCTCAAAAGTAAAGAAAATTTTAATAGTATAAATAACCAAAGCTTAACTAACGATAAAAAACATGATATTGAAGAAAAAACCCAAAAACATGATTTACCAGTGGTTATTGAATCCTCCTTTTTTCAGCTGTCTCAGATAAATCAAAATCATAACTCTGAAAGTAACAATAGAAATCCCCAAAGTAGTCCAATGTTTCGATCTGATAAAATGAAAAGGGACACTAACTGTAGGAACGACCTTATACACATGAACTATTCAAAAGTAAATAGATTCTATAACCACCTGANCGCATATTTCCGATCGTTGAAATAAAGGCGGGCAAATAAACGGAAAAAAAAGACAAAAAAACACCCGACTTAAAGCAAAATTTCATAAATCCTTTTGGTCTCGAAATATCGACTTTCGGGCTTGTTGTATCTCTTAAACCATAGCTGTAGCCTCCTAACTTACTGGGGCCTGAGTTCAAGCTCATTTTCTTCCAATTCCAATTGCAACAACAGGTGAAATGTTTCTAACATTGAAATTTCCGTTTTTACGGTCGTTATTGCTTTTCTCATTAATGTATTTGTCACTGAAATTTGTTTGATTACGATTATTGTTGTTATTGTCATTTCTCATAGTATCTAGTGTTTCATTGTTGACCTTTATTGTCGAGAGTTCAAAGTACCAAGCTCCTTCCGAGATTCTAACATTGGTCATGGCACTTCTCCAGCTTTGGCTTGTTGAGACCATACCTAAATTGGTTTGAGTATAAGCACCTTTGGATCTGCTGAAATAACTCAATCATGTTTTAGAAGGTGGTAAGTTGCCATTTTCACAATAATCATTAGTTATTAAGTATAAGTTGGGACTTAANGGTTTGTATTTGAAGCAGCGCTTATTAACGACGTCTTCTTATAGAAAATAAATGGGTAGTTCATTTTCGTTTTGTATTTCTATTTGATGGTTGTTATCGTTATTGCTATCACTGTGGTTTTCATTATTTGATTGATAATTTTTATCATTGAATTGTAAACGTTCAGTATCTTCAAATAATAAAGAAGTATTGTGCATCTTTTCAGATAATTTGTTGTAAGAGATTGAGAAGATTATATCAT